CGCAGGCCCCTTCGCGTCGTCCCACCCCCCACGCCTCTTCTTGGCCCTCAGCCCAGCACGCCTGCGCCAGACCCTGTGTCCCTGCTCCAGGCCGTGACTCGGACACGGAAAGAAGGCACCGCGGCCGGAGCTCGGGAGAAGCCTGCAGCCTGCAGCCTTCAGCCACCGGGGCCTCGGTCCTCTGTTGCCAGAAGCTGGTGAGCACCTGAGTGCCATCATTACGCACCTATTTCTCCAACATCTGCAGGGATCAAGAAGGAGAAAACTGAAAAGGAAGTGCACGCTCTGGTCCCTTTTAGTCTACTTGGGGGAGGGCCTTCTCTGTGGCTTCATCACTGGGGGTCTTCCTGTTCCAAGCCTCGCAGGCGGACACCTTCCCATGGGGCAGGTGTCCTCCCTCCCACATAGGGGAGCAGGGACCGCACGATGTGGAAGCTGTGGCCCCTCTGCAGATGGCCAGGTCCCCGTGAGTTACCTACGCGCTCTGCTCTGCTGCCCCGGCATGCATAGGAGTGGCAGTTCCGGGGAACCCTTGGAGCTCAGAGGAGGGCCTTGGGAGTGGAGGCAGAGGAAGTACTTTTCTGTGTCCATCCCCAGGAGCCCTGGTTCCCACCACGCTCTCTTCCACTATATCCATCCCCAAAGCTTGTGGGGCGGCTGTGTCTGCTGTCCTTAGAGAGCAGCTATGAAACCTCTAGACAAGGACTCAAGCCCAGGAGAGTGAGCAGCGCCCCTTGATGATCACAACCAGCTCTCCGTGTGGGTACCGCTATCAGGTCTGGGAAGCCAGAGGGATCCAGTGGATTTCAAGCCTCTACACTGTGCCAGTCCTAGGTTGACTATCGCGTGTTCTCAGGCCGCCTGTCCTTTTTCATTTGAGGAGTGTGACGGCGGGCTCCCGGCTCTGTCTGAATCCATACCCCCTGCCAGCCCCCAGGGGGATGGTCCAGACCAGGGCTGGCTCTACGGCCACTCCTGTCCTTTAGTAACCGGTCATGACTATGCCTCGAGTGCAGGGCTCTGTCCTCCCAGCATTTGTGCAGGTCCTGGCACATGGTGACCACTCCACAATGTCTGTTGGACAAGTGGCTTCTGGGGACTCCCCAGGGTCGTGGGCCTGACCCAGCTCTTGCCCTGTGCGCTGGCCCCACACCCTCAGACCGACTGAGGGCCTGATATCTGGTGCTGGCTTCCCCAGTCTTCCAAATGTACCACTTCCAACTCATTATTGCTAATGTTTGGGGGCAGTGTGCACAGGACAGATGCTATTAGAAAACCAAATTCTGTTCTATCAGGAGGCAAAATTAACAGAGCATAAAGCAAGTTCGGAGAAGATTGATGAGCCAAGGTCCCTGGAAAATAAACGAGAGGAATTTTCTTTGCCAGATTACTTTTAGTTGTGACACTTGCTGTTGCTAAAGACACAGCAACCCCATTGGTCTCTGCTGCCCAGGGCTGAAGGGATGGGGGGCTTGTAGGGCATGGGGGCCTCTCAGAGCAGGGGAAGTGGGGTGGGGATTATGAGGCTTGGCTCAGGGAGCCTTGGCTGGTGGATGGGTCTTAAACTGGTTCTGGGGAGGGGGCCCCTTTGGGCCCTGGCAGCAGAGCAGAGCCCCTGGTCGGCAATCTTCCCAGAAGGACTTGTCTCCGAAGCAGCACAGGGCCTGGAGAGATTGGGCCAGCAGAGAAGTTCTGGCTAGAGGTGGCTCTGCAGGGTCTCTTTGGCATCTTATCCCTCCCAGGGTGGGAATAGGGGTGGCATTGGGAATGGCAAATGGAAACTATAAGGCACATGTCAGTCATATCCTTGGGGACTCACAGGTTAGGAGGGAGCTCATTCGTTCATTAACACCTTTATCAAGGATCTCCTGCAGTGTGTTCTGGGAGTGGAGAGTTTCTGCTGCTTAAGACAAGTCAGCGGATCCTCACTCACCTCTGTGGGGTGAGCACTCTGAGAGGGCAACCCGACTGTCTTCAGGGCTCAGGAGAGACTGCCCAGAGCATTGCATCCAGGAGGTCACCAGTCACTGCATGTGGGGAAGAGCATTCTAGGAGCTGGAGACAGCAGGGGCAAAGGCCCAGTGGCATGAAGCCTGATGGAGTATCCATGGGTTACTGCAGAGGATGCCAGAGGAGGAGGCAGGAAAGACAGGTCCATGCTCCGGCCAGCTGGACTTTATCCTTGAGGCAAAGGGAGTTGCCAGAAGAGAGGAACATTCGGCCACATCATGCCCTGCACAGTGCTGGGCCCCTGCTTCTGTTGGGAGGTGGAAGCGTTCTGATCTTAAACTCCTCACTGCACAGTGTTGGTGAACACCGCTGGCCACATTATTCCCCTGGAGAGGAGGGAGGGCCTGGCCTGGCTGCGCCACGTTAAACATTGCTGGGGTCTTTGCCTCCAACCCTGCTTTTGGTTCCACCTCTCTGGTCTCATACACACACATATACACCCTGCCTGCTGCCCTCCAGTAGCCTCCGGCTTCCCAGCTTCCCAGCAGAGACTCACAAGGCTGGGCCTCTCTCCTGCAGGGGGCGCTGCTCTCCAGTTTTCCACCATGTTCCATCAAGGCAGCCAGCCAGCTAGAGGGCCCCTTTGGCTCTGTCTGGTGTTTTTTCCTCTGATCAGGGACCCTGCAGAGGCAGGTGATTTCCCCCAAACCCAACCCTAACACCTTGACAGTCGGTGATGAGAGCAGCACCTGGTCACTTGAGGAAACTGAGGCTTCCATTGCAGTGGCAGGAATAGTGTGAACGTGCCTGGATCAGGTGGACCTAAACAAAGTACCCACTGTGTCCCTGAGCTGGTTTCAAACTTATGATCCTTCTGACTCAGTCTCCCAGACAAGCATGTGCTAACCATGCCTGGCTGAAATTTCCTTCTGTGAGATAAAATGTTCTAAAATTACATTATGTTGACAGTTGCACAACTGTGAATATAGTGGGGAAAAAAACCACCGCATCAACTGTACACTTTAAAAGGGTAGATTTTTGTGTCATACAAATGACATCACAAGAAAGCTTTTTTTTTAAAAGGATGTTTCTGGTGTCCGGGAGCAGGAGAGGCAGGAAGGAAGCCAGAGGCTGGGGAGATGACTGTGGCTGGGGTGGGGTGGTATGGATGCTCTGAGAGGTTTGGAAGAACAGGGAGTGCACGGGAGTCAGAGCTGAGACTTGTTGATGGCCCGAGGTGGGCAGTGAGAGGAGAGACAGTATCCACTTTGGCTTGAGCTCAGCTGGCTGGTGATGCCATCCCAAGGAGATGATGCCTAGAGAGGTTGGTGCAGGGGAGAAGCCCTCGTAGGGACACTGTTAACATCTGTGTGCTGTGAGCTATAGGGACGGGTGGCATGGGGGGCTGAGCTATGAATTTGGGAGTTGCCAGCCTACAAAGGGCACTGAAGGCTGCAGTTTCCATGAGATCATCCAAGGAGGGAGAAGTAAGTAGCCTCTGGCCTGTGTGGGCACAAAGGCACCAGTGCCTCGCAGCATTGAGTGGTTTGGCTGGGTTCCTGGGTACTGGGCTGGGCACTGATTAGTCAGAAAGTAGATTGTCTTTAAGGATCCCAGCAGGCTCAGGTTGGCTCCTGAACTGTTCCCACAGAGAGATTTGTTTCTTCAGGCCAGGAAAGGCTGCTGGGTCCCTGCTGATCCTCCCTGGGTTGGGAGACATTTTAGTTGTTCTTGGATAAGGACATTATGTTAAGTGAAGTGAGTCAGGCACTGAGACCAATCCTGGAAAGTCTCATTTCTGTGTGGAAGCTGAAAAGTTGAGCTCATAGAATTTGGGAGTAGTGGTTATCAGCCTGGGAAGGGTGTGGGAGAAGCAGAGGCTGGTTAGTGGGTACAGAGGTGCTGTTGGACAGCAGGAATAGCTCGCAGTGTTCTGGAGCACAACAAGATAACTGTGGTTGGCAGTAATTAATTACATATTTCAAAATAGCTAATAGAGAGGATTCTGAATGTTCCCAACACAACGAAATGACAACTGTCTGAGGTGATAGATATGCCAATTATGTGAGCTGATCATTATACATTGTATACATGTATCAAAATGCCACATTATACCCCATAAATACATGTAATTACAATGTGTCAATTAAAAATTAAAAAATATATTTTAAAAATTCCACTGAGTTTTCTGTCTTAATTTGGAAGGTATCATTTATAATAACGTATCTCATGTATAATAAGGGCATGGAAGCTGTTGCATGGTCATGAGAAAGACTTCCTCTACCCATCTTTGGTTAAGACTCAGAAGGGCACAACCAAGATCAGAGTTCAAGA